CCTCACCAGGACGAGTGGATTGAGAAACGAATGAATGAACAAACTCATGCACTCGTTTAATGTCGAGTTTATAATTCAATACAATCGTTGCTCCATACTACTTTATTTTATCTGATCCATTGCAAGTCATTCGAGTTATCTTGCGACGTGCTTTGAAGTCTCACAGGAGATAAAAAAAAAATTGTGCAAAACATTGCATTTAAAAAATAATACGTTTCAATCACCCATAACTATAATAATGCAATGTCCTGCACAGTTATTACACACTGACTCAAGCCTAAAAGAGTTCACTTGAATCTACGGAATTATCCTCAAGGGGAGAATCACAGACTCCACTCAGGTTGAAGGTCACAGGGCCACAGAGGCCACACGCAGTACCTGCACGACCTTGCGAGTGGCCTTCAACTGTCCCACGGACATAATCGCCTTTTTCCTGTCCTCCCCCACTGCTCGCATCTCCTCACCGACTCTACCCTGCAAGAGACGAAGTCATCAGAGGAGACTCCACTCCATCTGGAGCCCTCCACGGTGACAGTTCTGAATTGTCCACCAGAAGCGTGGTGAGGAAGTCAGCCTGGACTGACTGAAAAATTCTAATAGCCGAGGGACCTGTGAAAAGGGAATCAACCCACGGTGATGTTTGTTGTATGAGATGTTTCTATTATTCCCAGGTGACAGTTTTTTTTTTTAATCAGCTCTTGTAGAAGTATCAGAATCAGTATATGTATTTATACTGGAGGGATCCGATGTGCTATATAGCTCTTTTTCACAGCTGTCCAGTAGGGGTGGGTAAGAACGTTACAACAAACTATACAATAAACATGATAGAAGTGCAAAGTACAAGAAAGGTAAACAAATCACCCAATAACATACAACTAAGCCATCCCCATCCTACCAGGCAAAACCCACCAAGGTATTAATTATTTTTTTTAGAAGCGACCTGGCCACAAATGATAACTCATCAAAGTGGTTTATCATGTGAAAATGTATAGCTGCCAAATAATCTCAATGCATGTTTTTTTTTAATTCTGCACCTCAGTGGTTCTCACTGTTGGCATGTTGGCCTCACCTTCCGTGTCTTATGCTCGTTCTCCAGCGTGTCAACATCATGCCCTCTGTGTTCTCCAGTGAAAACGCAGACTGTGCACACGAGGCTCACGTCTTGCTTGCAGTAGAACATGAGCTCCTGTTTGTGCTTAGGTTTAGTGCTCGGACCAAGCTCTGTGCTCTGAGAGCTTCTCGTCGGGTCAGCACTACTGGGAGGTGGACGTGGGGAGCGCGTGGCTGTGTCGGGTTGGAGTCACGTACGGGACGATCCCACGGAGAGGGCGTGGTGATGAGTGCTGCCTGGGAGGTAGTGACGTCTCCTGGTGTCTACGGAAATGTCGCGACAGCTTCTCAGTGCTGCATGGCGGGGTACAGACCTCACTGTCGGTGACGGAGCCTCCACGGAGAGTCGGGGTCCATCTGGACTGGGGCGCGGGGCTGCTGTCGTTTTACAGCGCTGATTCCATGGCGCTGTTGCACTCGTTTCACCAAACCTTCACTCAACCCCTGCACCCTGGGGGGGGGGGGGGTGCCTCAGTGAGGATTGTGGATCTGAGTGTGCGTCCTGAGAGAGGTGAACGTGAACATCACAGACGGCAGATGCCATGACGCATGGCGTCCGCCACTTTCGTCAGCCACGCGCAGTGCCATGCCCGTGGCTGTCTGGTGACTGTCGGTGCCAAGGGGCTGCGTCGCTCTCCATCACAACGGGGGGGGGGGGGGGTCTGAGCGTAAACAACCCTCACAACCTTCATGGGGGGAGAGATGATAAAATAAGTACCGCTCTGTGTGAGAAGCCAACGTGGATGAATTCACCCTGCCAGAGGAGTGTGACTGTGGTGTAGGGGTGCGGTGATTAGCAATGGTGAACTGGGATGTGTTTATAAACTGGTGGTGTCATGGATTGTGGGAGAGATACAACAATAATAACATTAATTTTTAAACGTATAAATGTCCGTGTATGGAAGTTGCATTGTAACGCTTGTATCATCGATTCCACAATAAAAATACAGAACACAAATAACAACAACAATGTAGTTGTGTACAGCGTCATTCGTGCTCACTGCATTCCGCAACGCTGTTCATTAATTAAACACGAGGACCAAATCCTCTTCAACGCCACTGCCAAGCAAATTAATTCTACAAATTAATAAAGAAATAAAGAGATGGCGCAAAACACAAAAGGCGCCAACAATGTCCGAGCTGTTAAAGTTGTCTGCTGCGTCAAGGACGTGGTGACATCACCACACGTGCTCCCCCCACGCCTGCCCCTCACCATTGCACCATATGTGAAGACAAAGAGCTTTACAGCTCATCGGATTCCTCCTGCACTACAAACAGATTATGACATTCTGGATTCCCGCCACTGGGGGAGTCTCGCTTTGGCGACAACAAAAACAAACAGAGGCACTGAGGGGCAACCTGCAGCCTCGCTGCTGTGATCCAGCACTGTGGGGGGGGGGGGGGTTGGTGGATGACCACTGACACTGCTGGGAACTCCCCACGAGGGCAAAACGACGAGGCGCCACGTGGCCTGGAGCTCGCCACCACAACAACCACCACAACAACCATCACCACAACCATCACCACAACCACCACAACAACCATCACCACAACCACCACAACCACCACAACACCAACCACCACCACGTGTGAACTTCACCCAGTGACAGGGACTGGGAAATAAATAAAAAAATCCACCCAGTCTTTCAGTAAACACGCCGGATACATATTCGGGCAATGGGCAACAATTATTTACATATTTAAGTACATAAATATCAAATTGTATCTATGTATATACGCATACCTATATATTAATATGTTCGTATATAAATAGCTATTATATACATATTTAAATATTAATATATCTAAATCCATTAATATTATATAATATTCATATATAACTATTGAAATATGTATATATGTGTAGAGGAGAGAAATACGCAGTGCGTGCTGTTAAGCGGGTGCAACTGAGGTCGAACGTTGCGACATGAGGTTTGCACCGACGGACCGCCAGTAATTAATGGGAGCAATGGGTGCAACCGAGGTTGAGCAGGTGGATGTGCTGCGACCGGAGGTTGCTGTCAAAGAGACGGGATATAAGGGTTTATTGGTGGGCCAACAGGCGCCGGCCTGGCGGGAGCTTAAAGACATGCATGAGAGGACTCAGAATTGTAAGGGGGATATAAGGGTGTGTGCGTGAGCAGAGAGGGGTTGTTGTTGCCGAGAACCAAGTGTGAAGACATCTCGCCGCTGCCGCTCCAGCCGTCAACAGGACCTCAACCCTCACGCCGTCGCCGGGGGGGGGTGATGGCTGATCCCCCTACCCGGGACAGACGGGTGAGCGGGTCTGAGGGAGCGCTGGTGAGGTCAGCGGTGGAGATGCAAAGTTGCTGTGTGTAGAGTCGCTGAGTCCAAAGCCACTGTGTGTGAATTAGCTGAGTGTGGAGACGCTGTGTGCGGAGTTGCTGTATGTGGAGTCGCTGTGTGCGGAGTAGCTGAGTGCGGAAACGCTGTGTGTGAAGATGCTGTGAGCGGAGTCGCTGTGTGCAGAGTAGCTGAGTGCAGAGACACTGTGTGTGAAGACGCTGTGTGCGGAGTCGCTGTGTGTGGAGTCGATGTGTGCGAAGTAGCTCGGTATGGAGACACTGTGGGAAAAGATGTTGTGTGCGGAGTTCCTGAGTCTGAAGATGCTGTGTGCGGGGTCGCTGAGTGCGAAGATACTGTGTGTGGAGTCACTGTGTGCGAAGACGCTGTGTGCGGAGTCGCTGTGTGCGGAATCTCTGTGTGCGAAGACGCTGTGTGCGGAGTCGCTGAGAGACGCTACTGAGTGCAGGATAAGTGAGGTGCGGAATAGATAAGAGCAGGGAGAAGTTAAGTTTATGTGACCATACATATAGTTGTAGGAGTGCCTACAACTGGTGCAAGAACAGGTGAATAAAGTGTAAGCAGGTGACTTGTTACGTGACAGTGTGAGTAATTTTTGCAGACACTACATATGTATACATTTTTTTTGTGTAAAGACCTAAAATAATCGCATGCCAACAGTGCAGCCTAACGGCCTATTTGATAATAAGCAAGGTCTCTGATTGACTGAAAGAGGCCTCCACAAGGATCGGTCTGGAGGCTTTAAAGATATTGTAGGAAAAAGTGTTTGAAATAATATCGAGAGTCTGTTAGAGAAGAAGGATGATGATTAGCTGAGGGAAAACAAGGACAGGAAAGTTCAAGAGAGAGAGAAGGGGAAGGTCTCGAGGAGCGTGAAAGGGGATAGCACGAGGAGGGGTGATGGTCAAGGGAAGGAACGAGCTTCGACTTGAAGAGCCAAGTCCGGGTCTAGTGTAGTCACTGTGTCTTCAATAAAGAGGCTCCAAGTAGCCAGTCGTCCGACTCATTTCATCTAACCTATGTCATTTTTTGTCTGTCCATCTGTCTGTCCATCTGTCTGTCTGCACACGCACGCAAGGGATTTGGCTCTAAAACCATGGGGTATATGTCAAACCAAATTTGCCAGGCAGCACGCCGTAAGCCCCGCGGTGGACAAGCGCTCTGCCGCTTTCCTGTCACTCACCTTCAAAATAATTAAAATAGCGGTTATCTATTTATTTCCATCGCACCTCGGCCCGGGACGTCATCAGCTGCGCATGCGCACAATGCTCGCACAGTTAATCCCACACGCCCCATCGCCGGAGGTGTGTATCCTGTTTTAATAGCCTGCACACTCTACAAGGTAAGTCGCACACATTTCACTTTAAAGCATTATTCACTTTGCATCCATACATGCTTATTTTCATTCTCATTTACATTTTCACTTCCATTACTTCTCAATATTTACATTAGATTATTTTCCTACAGCCATTTATTACTCTATTCCAACATACTCGCCCCCTGTGTACGCCGTTTAATCAATCACCTAATGTCCGTTGCGCTCACTGGGTGGCCATCTCATTTATACAGGTTACATATGCTTCACTTTCGATATTACTTACACTCATTCACACTTGCCCTCGCCGATGTTTCTTAAAACAAAATGGCGGACAAACTCCACCATTTTAACTTCATTAACGAGGGCCTGCCTTTCATTTATTCCTCCCACCTTTCACTAACGTCACGTACATTTCACACAAGTGCCATCTCTTCACGTTGAATTACATACATATTTACTTGCGTGCCTATGTGTGTCTCACTGCATGCTTATGCCTGTCTCATTATCATCACCATCAGCGCAATTACAAAAATTACCACACGGACAATGCATTACATGAAGTTTTGCATGATCTCCTCATTCACCTGCACTTTCGTCTTCTTATTAGATGTGTCAGTTTCGGATAATCCAGCTCTTTCCATTTTTACCAACGCAGCTCTATCGTGCTCCGCTCCACCTTTACCACACTAGCCCCCTCTGTATGGTGATTTATCACTAGAATCATGTTTTTCCGATTACCTTTTTGTGCATCTGTTCATTCTTGCAGGTGTCACATACACTTAATTAACTACGCACCTTCATTGTCTTCTAATCTTGCACTCGCCATCATTTTTACTACACATGCCGGCATCACATTCTCCTTTTTTCATTGCTTGCAAACGGCTGCCTTTCATTTATTACTCGCCTCTGTGCCTTACGTTACGTACTGTCTACTATTACAAATTATCATTAGCTTTCATACCATTACAATTCGGATGTGTTTACGCTGCACCACACACCCACACAACAGAGTTACATTCCCCCTCATGGCCAACAACGATACCGATTCTATTAAACTATCCTCAGCCTCCCCTACGTCCACTCACCCTCTCATGAGTACCTCATACCTTTGTAATCATCGCCACTGCTGGACGCCCGCACGCGCGTGCGCCTTTCCGCCCTTCATAGCTGACACTCGCTAACTGCCCTTGCCCCAGCAACCTGTTACGCCACTATGGGGGATATGCGTCTTTGTATGTTTCACACCTTCCGACCACACTTGCATAACTGACGGCTCGCGCTACACCATATATATCTCTCCCTCCATATATATTCAGACAACAAAAACACCCCTCCCCCCACCCTTTCACTTTATTTACTGTTGCACAAAGTGCTGTTAATGACCACCTATAAAGACGGCTACGGCACACCAGGGGGTGGGTGGCCAACACCACGGCCGCCCGCCATTGACTCCCCATTGACGATGGTTACACACCGCTACAGCTATTGCATTTAACGCTGAGTCGCACTAGGGGAGGCCCACGATCGCTTTACATTCCCATCACCGCTGTCGGCCCTGACCAACAATCTCAAATAACTTGGCACGTTCGTTGCGCGCCACGCTAACCACCACACACACACGCAGCGCCGAGTGCGTGTGTGCTAATGACGTCCCGACGCGAGGGCCGCATGCTTTGTGTGCCGCCACTGTTGCAGAGCAGCTGAGGGACCGACTGGAGCACGTGGGCGGGCAGACGATCATACTGGCGGACGTGCACGAGGTGAGCATCGCGTCTATGTTGCTCACATCTTCAACACTGATGTTTTCGATATTCATTCATCATTGCCATAATATTTCTCAGTTTTTGCATTTCTCACCCAGTTGCTTCTTTTTGTATGTCCAGCAATATCTCCTGTGCACAGTTTCTACATTTCTAATACCTACATTACGTTTTTCTATCACTGTCATTGTCACTGCACATAAGTTGCAGGGACAATCGCCTTTCTTTTCTTCAGGGCATTACAGCACATTTACCACCCACTAAGCACATCTCTTTACCTTTCTTTTTACATTGCGCTTATTCACAATTCCAACTGTACTTTTTTAAACACTGCTCTTTTGTAAGCTTCTATATAATGCTTCATGTTTCATTAGCACCTTTTTCACAATTGCACCCTCAGTAACCTAAGATTCTCAGCAACATGTTATTTGGGTTAATATGTGCGCATCTCATTATGTTACCATGCTACCTTTATTTTCTTCAGAATTTTTGCACTTACACTTCCCGCTTTCTTCAAACAAATAATATGACTCATCTACTTCCTTCCCATTATTTTATTCCTTTACTCTTTCAGTCAGGTCACGCCCAATGCTACATAAATACGTTTGCTTCCTTAAACATTTTTTATGTGTACGTGCAACTCTCAGTTTGCGTGTTTGTTAGTCGATGTGTGTGTGCGACTCCATGTACATGTGTGCCAGTAGATGTGTGTCTAAGACAATTGATGTGTCTGTGCGTCAATAGCATTATGGAAAGCACGCTGCAGCACCCACCCGGCAACCCCAACCACATTACTGCTCACACACAACATCAAAGAACATTTTGTTAAACTGTCCTGAGCCTCCCCTATGTCGACTCAGCCTATCATGAGTACCTTACGTGCTGCGTAAACACTGCCACTGGAGACACTAAGGCATAGGGCCGTGCTGCCAGCAACTATTAAGACGCACACGGCACACAGGGGGGTGGTGCCCAACACCAAGCCCGCCCGCCTTTGTCTCTCCATTGCCGATGTTTACACACCGCAATAGCTACAAATTTGGGGGGAGGCCCCAGAACGCTTTATAGATTCGCCACCGCTGTCGGACGTGATCATGTCTCTAACTCAGGTTTCCGGGTAATTAGTGTGCCGCATTAACCGCTACACTACCCGTTCTATATACACACCCCACGCCCACACGCAGCACAGTGTGCGTGCATTAAAATTACGTCTCAACGTGATGGCCGCGTCTTTTGTGTGTCGACAAAATTGCAGACCAGCAGAGGAGCCGCCTGGAGGACACGAGCCAGATGAAGATTGTCCAAGCAGCCGTGGTCGAGGTGAGCAACGCTGCAGTGGCGCCGTCCGGGGACCCGACTAAATATTTTGCTTACACACGTTTTAGGTTCCTGGTCACTTATCTGCTCATAATACATATTCTATGCTTCGCATTCATTCACATTCGCACACAAAATGCCTAAAAGGGAAAAAAAATACACTCTCCTACAAAAAAACACACACACAAAGAGAGTCGTGCTGTGCCACGCTCAACAAACATTGCAGGAGCAGCACCTTTCTCTAACAAACTACGAAGGCACCTCAGCAGCACAGCCTCCAGGACCTGAAGCCCAGCGTGCACTACAACAAGTTACTGACAACACAACTACTGCTGCTGGCCAAGCGGACGTCAATCCTCAACAGAGTGTATCTCGGCAAGCCAGAAACCGCACATGCACTGCAGCACCACGGGTTGCCAATATTCCTGAATATCGTACATCTCGACAAGCCATGGACCGAACAGCCACTGCAGCCACAAGGATTGAAGAAAACCATGCACATCGTGCATCTTGACAAGCCAGGGACCGCACAGCGCTGCAGCAGCATGGCTTGAAGTAAACCCTGAACATCGTGCATCTCGTCAAACAAGGGACCGCACAAACAGTGCAGCAGCACAGGCTGACTGTTACGTTGCAATTTTGGCTTCATATTTTTGGTGATTTCGAAAAGTGTTTTGGTTTGGACATGTTTGTTTTGTTGTAGTATGGAGTTAAACTGATGGCCTTAATCTAAGTTTTCTTGTGGTGGTGGTTGTTGTTGTTTTACTTGCATCCCACTGGGATTTTTTTGCACACAGCGTTGGTGTACGGTGCTTTTTTCAGGAATATTTTGCTGTTTTTTTCATGGATTTTCTGTTTGCACAGTCACATAGTCACTTTAAGATGTTTTTCTTGTTCGTGTTTATTTATTGTTGTGGTTGCACCCGATTCAAGAGCCGAATGGCTCACAGGGCTATAAAAAAACTGAACTAAAACTGAAACTGAACTGACGAAACACATCACCAAATGGCACGCATAACACAAGTCCGTCATGCTGCTGCATCTAAAACAAGAGCAAATCACCCGGAATGGAACAGAGCAGCTTTGATTTACCAACCAGATATCGATTATCAATCGATGGCCATATTAGGCTGTATGTAAATTACTTGCACGGATTGTTGTGCAAAAAAATGGAAATCAGAGTCCAAGGGAATGTCCTGCAGTGATAGCAAAGTAAAACTTTGCCTTGTGCAGACGCCCCCTGAGCCACTTAAATCCTTGGTATCTGGTCATACCCCTGAGTCTAATCACTTTCTCACCAACATCAGGAAGTACAATTCATGCTTTCAAATTACTTCATTTGGTGCGACTAAGGAGATAGTGGAGCCAGGTTTAATGCCAACATTCAAGGTTCAGGGACAAGTATATCATCAAATCGGATCCATTCACCCACTGACTGGCGAAAAGCCAAAGTTTCTTCAGATATACTTCATGGGAGATGACGGTCAGCAAGGCGACCAGCGCTGCAGCAATATTCCTGGTGCAAGACTCGAAATTGTCCTCTAACTCCAAGGGATGCTCAACCAAGACAATTTATTGATTTCAAGTTTCAAACATGTAGCACAACAAGTAACCTCACATGATTATCAGGTTGTCATCAGTGCATCCAAGGTCCCAATTGGGGAGCATGCGCGGAGGTTCAATGCCCCAACTTGTGGTGAGGTTGCTGTTATTACGGTGGGTGAGGAACATGGTAATAGAGACATTGTGCTTCGAAACCAAGAAAACACCATCAAGCTAATTCCGGACACAAACAAAGCATAAGATGAAGATAAAATAACAAAAAATCACGACGTTTCGGCCACAACACAAACGGCCTTCATCAGGTGAAGGGACGAGACTGTCTGGAGGACAGCGCTGGAGTGGGAGAAGCCACGCTTAGATCACCACCTTTAAGCTGTGTGAGAAGAAAAACACCAAGCGCCTTGACAAAGGAATTAGCATATAATTTAGCATTGAAATGGCTCATTGAAATAGCTAAGTTAAAGTATACACATCCGCAGAGGTACCCCTTGACAAAGGAATTAGCATAGAATTTAGCATTGAAATAGCTGAGTGATTAGCTTGTAACTGGTCACAGAAATAGGTATGTTAAAGTCAGAGCATATACATTCACCGAGGTACCTAGTACTCATCAAACAGGAGAATTTAGCGAAACACAACCACGCTCAGACAGCGGACCTTTAAACTGTGTGCGAGCAAACAAGGTGTTCTGACAAAGAAATTAGCATAAAGATTAGCATTTGATTGGCGGATTTTAGGAAAGAGGTGGTGTACGTGCCGTTTGGCGCGGGGGGGGGGGGGGGGGAGTTTACCTATTGATGGTGTGAAAAGGGAATTTATAAGAGCTGCGAAAGTTTGGGGTACCACTACTTGAAAAATATACTGTACCATTGAAATTTGTTTAATGTTTAGTTCGATTAAGAACATCTTTCCAATGGTTGCTTAATTTGAAACCATCCTCTCGGTTGAAATTGTGTCTGTGTTTGTAGATCTGAATTGCTTCATGAACAAATCTATGATAAAGCCCGTGGGTTTGCAAAGAACCTTGGTATCGGAGAAAATTACGATATAATTTTCTCCGATACCAAGGTTCTTTGCAAACCCACGGGCTTTTATCAGAGATTTGTTCATGAAGCAATTCAGATCTACAAACAGACACAATTTCAACCGAGAGGATGGTTTCAAATTAAGCAACCATTGGATAGATGTTCTAAATCGAACTTAACATTAAACTAATTTCAATGGTACAGTATATTTTTCAAGTAGTGGTACCCCAAACTTTCGCAGCTCTTATAAATTCCCTTTTCACACCATCAATAGGTAAACTCCCCCTCCCCCCCTTCCCCCCCCCCCCCGCGCCAAACGGCACGTACACCACCTCTTTCCTAAAATCCGCCAATCAAATGCTAATCTTTATGCTAATTTCTTTGTCAGAACACCTTGTTTGCTCGCACACAGTTTAAAGGTCCGCTTTCTGAGCGTGGTTGTGTTTAGCTAAATTCTCCTTTTTGATGAGTACTAGGTACCTCGGTGAATGTATATGCTCTGACTTTAACATAGCTATTTCTGTGACCATTTACAAGCTAATCACTCAGCTATTTCAATGCTAAATTCTATGCTAATTCCTTTGTCAAGGGGTACCTCTAAGGATGTGTATGCTTTAACTTAGCTATTTCAATGAGCCATTTCAATGCTAAATTATATGCTAATTCCTTTGTCAAGGCGCTTGGTGTTTTTTTTCTCACACAGCTTAAAGGTGGTGATCTAAGCGTGGCTTCTCCCACTCCAGTGCTGTCCTCCAGTCTCGTCCCTTCACCTGATGAAGGCCGCTTGTGTTGTGGCCGAAACGTCGTGATTTTTTGTAATTTTATTTTCACCTACGTGACTTTACCCAATAGAACCAAAGAGTATGGATCCTAGCAGTCACGAAAGCTTTAAATCTAGAAAAGCATAAGATGCCCTACAATATCCCATTATTCTGTGGCAAGGACAAGATGGCTACCACGTCCAGATACCTCAAAATATCAAAGCTACGGGACTAATTGATCCTCACAAAACTGTATCCTCTAAAGACTTATATTCCTTAATGATAATTCACAGAGGAGGAAACCACATACTAAGGTGCTCCAACCTCTTTCACCAGTATGTTGTCGATGAGTATGCCAAAACTGAGAGTGAGCGCCTTCTTTCCATTCGACTCGATCAAAAACACCTGCGTGTAGAACAGTATACTCATCTCAGGGATGCTATCAATGCTGACAGAGATGCAAACGCTCAGTATGTGGGGAGATTAGTTATTTTGCCTTTATCCTTCACAGGTGGACCAAGATACATGCATGAGAGGACTCAAGATGCCATGACCTATATCAGTCAATATGGCAGGCCCGATCTCTTCATCACCTTCACTTGCAATCTTAAATGGAAAGAGGTACAGGTTGATCTTCGATTTAAAGCTTTTGTGACTGCAGGGATTCATCTTCTTGGTTCTTTCGGTAAAGTCACGTAGAATGTAAATAAAATAATAAAAATAATAACAAAATAAAATTATCACGACGTTTCGGCGACAACACAAGTAGCCTTCCTCAGGTGAAGAAACAAGACTGTTGGGAAGACAGCGCTTGAGTGAACACTGCCAAGCTTGGCAGCGTCTTTTAAGCTGTGTGGGGGGAACAGAGTGACTTGACAAAGGAGTTTACATATCAACAGTAGCTGTGTTAATGTGTTGGATTAGCAGGATGTTAAAGTCAGAAATTAGCATGTAACTGGGGGATTAGCATGATGTTAGTATGAGGGATTAGCACTACGGGGAGCGACGAGCTTTGTTCAGACGGACGAGTCAATCTATGTTCGGAACGGAGCAGGGGGGAGAGTAGGAAACAGCCACGGTGCTCTGCTCTGTCCTGTGTTGCGTTATAACTATGCTATAAACTAGACTACTATACATTACAATATTATACCTTCCAATCTAAACTACATTGTATAATATCGTATACACAAACCAATGTAAGCTCTAACATTATGCATTATATTGATATGCCTCCAACTAAACTTTTTCTAAATTACACGACTATACACCGTAATATACACTGCCATAGACAAACCCCACCCTTGAAGTATACAATGCGTTACTATACACTACCCTATACTTTATACTATAAAATATTAGACTTGTAGTATTACACTATGTATTGTTCTACCAACCCTACTGTATACCACACTGCTGTATATTCACTATACAATTACGGTACTATATATTTCCTTATGAATTATGTTAAACATTACACTGTTATACTATTTATTATTACGTAGTGTTCGATTTCACTCGGACAACTTTTGTCTTTCTTCGAACACTGCTTTATTTACAACTCTCCGCATGTCCTCAATATTCCACAGTATCCCTGTCGCCACGGCTCGCTCGCCGTGCTTCACTCGACTCGCTCGCCACCTTTGTCTCTCCACTCCCCACTATCACTGCGCTTACTCCACCGCTAACTTCTTCGTCTCCGCTCTCCGCTATCATCGTCGCTATGCTCTCTCCACTGCTAACTACTTCGTCTCTGCTCTCCGCTATCACCGTCGCTATGCTCTCTCCACTGCTAACTACTTCGTCTCTGCTCTCAGCTATCAAGGTCGCTATACTCTCTCCACTGCTAGCTACTTCGTCTCTTTAGCTCTGCTACCGTTACGCTCTCTCCACTGCTAACTGCTTCTCTTCTTCAGCTCCGCTATCGTTACACTCTCTCTTGTTCCCACGCTGTCTCCAAACTCCGTCTCCAAACTCCGTCTCCAATCTCTGTCTCCTCAGCTGCTCCACATCTTGCCTCGTCCAGCCCCCGACTCCAACTCCCCTTTCTCCTCACGTCTCCCCAATTTATCCCCGCTCTCATTACACCCCAATTAATTAACCCACGTCCCAACGACGCTCCGCGAGCCCCTCCACCTGTTACCTCGCCAGACTTCAAGACGCCACTCCAGCCTCGACAACAACACCAACCAATCACAGCCGTGGCTCCCCCAGCTTAATTGTCCTAACATAACCTCTTCGTCCCAGCCACCACACCTGGTTGACCCAATATGACCCGTACTGACTTCGCCTTCGCAACAGGCTGACCCAACATAACCCGTACTGTCTTTGTTTTAATGCAATCACCCTGTTTGCACTACGCACCTTCCTACTCCACTACAATTATACAAAATGCTATAAACTATACTATTGACCGTCGTGTGAAAGGTACTAAGAGGCAGTGCCAGCGAATGGACTGCGGTCTGAAAGTCACCGTAAAATACAATCAATCAAGAACCGAAATGGTTTATAACGTCTTTCCAATGGTTACTAAGCCAGAATCCATCTTCTCGTTTGAAATTGTCTCTGTGTTGTATATGTGGATAGCCTCATGAACGAATCTCTCATGACAGCCGGATGGCTTGCAGAGAACCTCCGTCTTGGAGAAGTCAATGTCATGTGAGCTCACTGAATTATAACAGTGATCTGCCACGGCTGAGGTGTTCGTCCTACCATGTTTCAAGTATGCTTTATGTTCACGGATGCGGTCCGAGATATGTCGTTTGGTTTCTCCAATGTAGCTGCTACCACAGAGGCAACTTAGTTTTTAGACGCCCGGGTACTGTATGTCTGGAACCACATATTTTACAGACGGAAACAGATCACGGATTTTATGTACTGTGTTGAATCGGACCTGGATCTTGTGTTTATTCAAGATTTTGGAGATCTTTTTTTGTGACCCCCGCAATGTAGGGTAAGGTGATGGTTTTGAATGGCTCCTCAAGAGGATCCTTCTTCATGGTTGGAGTAATGGCTTTGCGGATTGTGTAGTCGGAGTAACCATTAGCTCTGAGAGCCTGGTGTACGTGTTTGAGTTCACTGGCAATGTGTTCCTGGTCGGAAATGCATTGGGCTCTATGGTATAGAGTCTTGATGAGAGAATGCTTCTGGGATGGATGGTAGTGGGAATCCGGTTTTAAGTAAGCATCCGTATGGGTAGCTTTCTTGTAGACGTCGTGATAATTTTGATTTTATTATGTTTTATTTTTATTATTTTATTTCATTTCTACATAACATTACCGAAAGAACCAAGAAGATGAATCCCTGCAGTCACGAAAGCTTTAAATCGAAATAGGGGGGTTGTTTTAGGTTAGATTACGTAAACATAAATGTTTCGTTAAACCCACCACCAATAACTGGCATCATCAGCTGGCGAAACGTCTTACTCAAATTGTAAATGTTGTGAATTTACTATCCAACACATGGGTATGCTGTACTAGTATAGTATACCTAATGATACACTACACTATACACTACACTATAATATACACTACACGATACACTACTATACATTTCACTATACACTTGTGCTTTACTAGTGTAGTGGTGTTTATTCACGCGGACAACTTATTTTTCTCCTGTGTCACTTTATTCGAAGCATACGACACGGATGCTCCTCATGTTCCATGCCACGTACTTCTCTCGCGAAATCTCCCTCTCTTGCTCTGCTAGCCTGCTAATCCGAGCTAACTCTCTCTTGCTCCACTAGCCTGTTACTTTACACTCTGCTAGCCTGTCACGACGCTCTCTCTCTCTGGCTCTGCTAACCTGTTCTCATCTCGCCTCTTACTGTATACTCCGCTAGCTTCTCAGCCCGCTACCCTCTCACTGAATCTCCTGATAGCCTATTCTCCATCGGACACTCCACCCCCACAACTCCCAAACTGTGATGGGGCAGTTGTGGAGAGAGTGGAGAATTTCCCATACCTGGGCAGTGTGCTTATGACCGGCTCCAGTTTAACAGCAGAGGTCTCACTCCGAATCAGTCGAGCGGCAATATATTTTCATCGGTTGCGTAATGCTGTGTGGAAGCTACCTGGTCTGTCGCTCCGCACTAAGCTTCAGGTCTTCTCGGCCACGGTCATTCCCTCCCTTCTCTACGCTTGCGAAACAGGACTCCCCTAATGGAACATCTTCGCCGGTTAGAAACATTTAGGCTAGCCTGCCTACGATCCATCCTGGGTTTAACCAGGCTGCATTTTGAGGAGCTCACAAATCTTTGAAAGATCTGGGCAAGGTCCCATCGGTGAGCTCCTCCGGCAGGCAAGGCTGCATTGGCTGGGTCATGTAGCCCGCATGCCCAGCCACCGCATGCCGAAACAGCTTTTGTTCGGCCGGATCGAGGGGGCTAAACGGGTGCAGCACGGGCTAGAGAAGAGATGGAGTGATGTGGTACAGGAGGACGTGGAGCTGAGTGGACTTGCCGATGACTGGTACCAGCGGTGTCAAGATCGGCCTCTGTGGAGGAGGCTCGTGAAGGACGCTACTGCGCAGTTGGAGGTAGTCGCCCTCAAACAACAATGGATGGCGGAGGAGCGACACTCACAACAACGAGCGGAGCACCAGGTGGCTAAAGCACAGCAGGTTGGCACAGTAGGGAGCACAAGTGGTGCATCAGCCAGTCATCTCAGTCATTTTAGTCAGTCGAACCGTGGCACTTGGTTCTGCTCCATGACCTCCTGCTCGCGGGCGTTCGACACTTCACGTGGCCTCAAGGTGCACATGGCCTGGCACAAGCGTCGTGATGACGTCACCGCCACTTAGTGGCGAATGGCGGTTGTTGTTGTTGTGGGTGTCTGTTTGTATGTGGGTGTCTGTGTGTGTGTCTGTCCACCCACCCACCCACTGACCCACCAACCCACCGACTGACAGATCCACCGACCCACCCACCCACCGACCGACCCACCCACCTACCCACCTATCTATCGACCGACCGACTGACAAACCGACCGACCCACCCACCGACCGACCCACCCACCGACCCACCCGCCGACCCACCCGCCGATCCACCTGCCACGGCCCCTGGGGGAGGCCACATGGAGCCAACCATGGGCCCCCGACTCTTGGCCCCCACATGCAGGGCATGGAAGCAAGAAGGGGGACTCGGAATGATGACCTCCGTGTGGGTAGCGAAACCAACCAGGTCTCAAAGAGGTCATCTTCGCGGGCACCCATCTTCTGCCAGGAAGACCTGTGGAGATTCTTCAAAGAGACCCCCAGGAAACCAAACAAGGTGATGGAGGCCTTGACAAGATGGCGAGCCAGACGCCATAGAGGTCTCCCTCTGACGCATCCTCACAGGAGCTCCAGCAGGAAGGAAAACAATCGAGAGACCTGGAGACGTCCAGGGTAAGGAGCCTCCTCAGCAAGGTGACTCATTGGAACAGGCGGGCGACTCACTCACAATGACGTTGCGCAACGCCTCCCTGAACATGAATGGGTGCAGAGGGGCGCTGAGAATATACTACGTAGGATACCTTGCAAAGCAGCATAAGGTCTCCGTGCTGTTCGTGCAGGAGACCCATCTCGCCATGGACAATGACGTTGCCTGGAGGACGGAGTGGAGAGCGAAGCCCTTCATCAGCCACTTCAGCAACACCTCCTCAGGAGTAGCAACCGTGCTGTCACCAAACTT